TCGTGCTCAACCATGGCCGGCTTCACTTGGAATCATGGAGGAAATGTTTCCTCTGTGTTGACCCTCCTCTTTGTAGACCAGACACTGGTTCAAGTCCATCTGGTGGGGTCTCCTCGGCCTCCTTGATCAAGAGGACAGGTGACGCACCACCATTATACGAAATTTTGAGAGATGCTCACAGTACCCTGGAACTAGTTGACCTAGGAGGGCAAGGAGCAAAAAGCGTCCTTTATGTCCCCCTAACCAATTATTATAGGCCTCAAAGTATGTCTGTTAAATACCCGAGAAGGTTAGTTCCACCAGTCTGGTACTTTTAATTACTGTGTGCCATGTAGATAAATCTTGGGCAAAGACCAGTTGTTCTCAGATAAACCTTACCTAGACATATATTTCTTGATCTGCTATGTATAATTTATCAGTAGGTTGTAGGATTTTAAAGAAATATCAAAGCTTTTTAAGGTTTTCAGTGAACTAATGTTGACTGACCTTATATAATTTTGCCTTGTATTAAATCCTAACATTTACAAAATTCCAGGTGGAATAATTAAATTTTTTCTTGCAGTGCTAGGGACTGAACCCAGGACATCATTCATGCTAGGCAAACTATCTTACTGAGCTACATCTACATCCCAGCCTCTGGAACATAGCTTAGTGGCAAAGCATTTGACTAGCATGCAGAAGGCCCTGGATTTGAGAAATAGGGAAAGAAAAATGAAAGTTGAAAAATCGAACTACTAGAATATTAAAACATAAATGATTTTTTAAAAAAGAAAAAAAATCAATGTATTTATCCATAGACTGAAATTTTTGAAGTAGAAAATTTAGTGTTGTTCAATTGATAGGAAACTAAAATACTCTAATAAAACAGCTAGCATATTAATAGGGTGATAGTATTTAAACATTTTTACCAGTCAGTCATTTCCATATTTTCTAAACTAGCTGAATTTTGGAGTGTTTTACTTGATTTGTTATATTCCTGGTCAAGTGACTGCTAAGTAACTTAAATTCATAGAAGTTTTAGTACTCAGTGTTATGTAACAGATAAAATTTTAGTCTAGCTCTGAAACTTTCATTTCTGTGATTCAAATAAAGACTAAAATCTCAAGCCCAGGCATTAGAGAGGTGGCTTAATGGTTAAGAGCTCAAAAGAGCACATACTGCTCTTGTAGAGGACCAGAGTAGGCCCCTGCTCAACTTGCTCTTTTTTTTAGAAAGGGTCCCTGGATAGCCCCAGCTGGCCTGGAACTCACTATGTAGACCAGGCTGGCCTTGAACTAACAGAGATCCACCTGCTTCTGCCTCCTAAGTGCTAGGATTAAAGGTGTGTGTTACCACACCTGGCTATGTCTCGGTATTTTCATTAGGGAGTTTCTACAAGCAGGGCCTCATATAATCCAATGTGGCCTTGAACTCCCTTTGTGCCCTAGGATGACCTTGAACTCTTGACATTAACCATAGAAATGAGTCCACTTTTGTTTCCAAACTTACATAGCAGGGAAATCTGTAAGTGCCTACAATCACATTACCATCACCCCTAAGTACTGAAAAGTTGTGTCTGGGTATCTTTAGGGACATTTATGTATGGCCCAGAGAGAAGGACATTTCTATCTCAGACAATTCCTGAAGTGGAAACATTTCTGTGTAATATTGATTCTTTTCTGGCTAGCCAAAGGTGGGTTTTCCACCTAGCAGTGAGCAGGAGCCATCCCAACACTGCGGAGCTCTGAAAGAGGATATAGAGAGTCGACCAGCATTCCCAGCTATGAGAAAAACATCTGTGCTTTGGAAAACATCCTGCAAATGCAGAGAACTGTGCTCTGTTCACCAAATTTCCACGAGATTTTTTTTTTTTTTTTTTTTTTTTTTAGTAAGGGTTTCCCTGTAACCTCAGCTGGCCTTGAACTCACTATGTAGACCAGGCTGGCCTTGAACTCACAGAGATCCACCTGCCTCTCCCTCCGGAGTGCTGGGATCAAAGGCGTGTGCCACCCAGCTCCACAATATCTTTTTAAGGTCAGGCAGCAGATAGGTCACACCCCATGCCTTCTTGGGTGGTTGAGAGAAGTCTGCCTTCCCTGTAAACTGCTACATAACTGTAATAAAGTGACTGATTAGGCACTTGGAGTTTATTCTTAACATAAGGAAAAAAAGGATTCGGTTTGGGGCAGGCAAGATGGCTCAGCAGGTAAAGGCACTTGCTGCCCAGCCTGAAGACCTACGTTCCAGCCCCAGAACCCACATGAAAGGAGAGAAGCAACTCTCGCAAGTTGTTTTCTAACCTCCACAAGCACAAGCACAAATACACACACATAAACGTGTAAGGTTTTTTAAATATTTGATTTTTTTAAAGTATATGTTCTGATTCATAAAATGTCCAAGGCAATATATTTTTCAGTATTTTGAATTTTCTATTTAAAAGCTTACAAATGAGTAATCTAAACCTGTCTAACGTGAAGTACAAACTCAAGGCTGGGAACTAAACAGCAAATTATCTTTATTGTCACCATTATGTGGGATAATTGATATTTTACAAGAAGCTCCGGTTTCACTTTCCAAACTTAGACTTTTATTATCCCAATAGGAGCTGCCACTTACCTGTGCTAAAGGACATCCCCATCTAGTGCTGTACTTCTAAGGGGCTAAATCCTTGCTAAGCAAATTATAAAATCAGAAGAAGATTCACTGATAATTAGAAGAAAGTTCCAGCATTACTGCTGTTACCTAATCACATGGATTTTGTGTTTTACACCTCAGGAGTCACATTCTTACCTTGCTTAAAATATTCACTGAAGAATATGCTGTGATATCCATGGGTGGAACATTCCATGGTGTTTTCAAACAGCATGTGTCAGGAGCTTGGCATCTCTTCCTCCCAGGAAGTCACTGGAGGGTGACCAGGTAGAACCCAGCAGGCTAGTGAGGGCATATGCCAAGGCCTGCAGCAAACTCCATTCTAGCTCCTTGCCTGCCAGGGAGCTTTCTTACTATCTGAAGCTTGTATAAAATCAACTACATGTTTTCATTTGAAAGCTAAAATCAAAAAGAGTTCTGAAACTAGAGAGCTGTTCCTGTGTGAGACACTGTTTATTGTAGGTTTTTACCATTTCTAGGTTTTTACCATTTCCAAAGAAACAATGCAAATAAACCAGAACCTAGAAGAATCAGCACCATATTTCCAGGTCCCCTTAAAAATTGACTTTTGTACCAGGTAGTACATGCCCTTAGTCCATTGAGGAGGCAAAAACAAGCAGATCAAATTGAGGTCAGTCTAGTCTACATAGCGAGTTTCAGACCAACTGGGGCTACAGGGAGACCCTGTCTCAAAAAAAAAAAAAAGACCTAAAACCAAAAACAAACAAATGTAATTGGCTTTTACTTTTAATTTAGGAAAATTGTTTTGGATTAAGTTGTAGAAAGTAATAATTTACAATGCTTTTGGAGCACGATGTCTGTTTTCACGATGGTCTTCAGACATCCTCCTGGGCACTGCTGAGACAGCCAGTTGGCAAAGCTGAGGCCAGAAAAAAACAATTATTTTGATTTCTCTCATAATTCCTAGGCTCGAATGGGTTCAATGGGGTCATTCTCATTTGATTTTGGTATTGGGAACCGAACCCAGGCTCTCAGGTGTGGTAACAACACATTTCACACCCATACCTTTACTGGGTTCTCTCATGGGTTACAATCATATCGTGGTTGAAGATTAGGCTGAGACAAGGGTGACTGGGCTTCTTGATCTCTTCCAGCAGGCTCTGTCTTCTACTTCCTGAGTACCCAAGGTACAAGAGCAGAACTGTCCAAGCATTTTCATGGCTCATATCAAGAACTGATCCAGCATTACTTCTGCTCACTGTACTGGTCAAAGTAAGTCAAGGTTCTTCTGGGGAATTCCCAGTTGCACCCTCGGGTTTGATGGTTCTTTAGAAGAGCTCACAAAACTCCAGAAAAAGATTAAACTTAGGTAATTATTAATTTAATAATTAATTTAGTTAATAATCAATTAAAGTTAATTAGGTTTATTATAGTGTACAGTCAGCAAAAGAGAAAGTGCACAAACACAGTCCAGGAGAGACCAGTTGCCAGCTTCCAGTGGACCTCTTCCAGTAAAATTTTAAAGACATCTCAGTGTTCCCATCAATAATGTGTAACAGCATGTGCAAAATATTACCAACCAAGAAAGTTGCTCTGACCCTTGGAATCCAGGTTTTCACTGAAGCATGGAACATCTATTTGACTGATCCCCGTTACTCAGTCTCTCGTTCCTCCAGAGGTCAAAGGGGCACAAGATGAGTCAGGACTCCAGGTGAACAGAAACCCAAATGTGACGCATCAATCATATTGTTAGCATTAACTATTTGGCATGCCTCCTGGACCTAGGTACACAAAGACACTTTGGTCAAGCAGAGCACTCCAGAGGCTTAAAAATTATCTTCCAGGATCTGGTGAAGGGTCTGTCCTTTCTCTGGGATGTACACACATATCCACCCTGGCTGCACGATGGGAGGAACTACATAAGGGCATGAACTCTGGGGCACATCGTGCTTTGAAGTTGTCTTTACAGACTAAATACTGTCATTATTTATCTCTTATGGCTCAAACAAAGACATCAATAGTTAGGGGGTCTGGAGTTCTTCAGGGAATTGTTTTCATCTAAATACAAATACATAGACTAGTGAAGGATTAGCCTGTTGATTGTAACATTCTTGCTCATGTGAAATGTGAATCACATCTATGTCTAATGAGTTAATTTATGCAATTCAGGAAATGTTGGATTCTACAAGAACACCTGGTTCTTATTCCAGAAGAGCTTGCTGACTGATGGTGATGCTGACAGTGCGTAGATAATTTAGTCTTAAATTGGGCTTCCCAGGATGCTGAGGAGCCCAGGATATGCTTTCTGATTTGAAAATGTTTAGACATTTTGAGATTTAAACTCATGTTTTAAAAGCAAAAAACTGAAAAGAAGACTTATTTTCAAAATCAATGAGGATGTCCCCCATAGGCTCCAAGTATTTCAACACTTGGTGAGGTGCTGTTTGGGGAGGGTCATAGAACCTTTAGGAGGTGTGGCCTTTGAGAGTTCATAGTTTGGAGTCTGTCTCTCTCTGCTTCCTGTGCCTGCTTGAAGATGCGAGTTCTCAGTTTTCTCTTCCGACTGCCTCCTGCCATGGCTCCCCACCATGATGGACTCATCCCTCTGGAACCGTAAGCCAAGTAAATTCTTCCTTCTATAAGACTGTGTGTTTTATAACAGCAACAGGAAAGGTAACTAATACATGGAATTATAGTATGCACTACCATACCTGGTTTAAAACCTTAAAAAATCATTTATCTTGAAAGTAGACTTTCCCTTACCTCATAAGGCTGAATCAATTCTGGCTTCATAGCCCTGTGCTCATGAATATATGTGTGTCTTGTGAGCCCTCAGGTAGGGATCTAGGAGTACATATTTGTTGGGCCTTCGGGACCCTCATATACATGGCATGGAGGAAAATGAGGCCTAATATAATTTCCTAAGCCAGGCTGGTAAATTCCCAGTGGCCCACAGTCTTCGCCCCAGATGACACATTCTTATACCCACCCCCTTTTCCACACCCCTTTTGCTTAAACTATATAAGTTGATGCCTGATGCAATAAAGTGAGTTCCTGCCTTGACAAGACTCCCGACTAGGTGTGGTTTTTGAGTCCCCGACACTCACCATCCCGCTCAGCCCCTAAGAGAGGGACCCAGGCTGGTCCTGGCCTCTCCCCTGTTGCTGTACCTGTTGGAGCGTCCAACAGATTGCACGGTGCCCCCGTGTGAGGAGCTGCCTATCATGAAGTCCGCTGACGGGCCAATTGATCTGCGGGTGAGTGTACCCCCATAAATTATGGGAAAGTCCAGTTCTAAGCCCCCTCTTTAGATTCCTTCAGGGTCCTGCTCAAAAGCAGGGGCCTTGACCTCTCAGACCACCAAGCACTCCAGGCATGGGGATGCCTGCTAAAGATCGCACCCTGGCTTCCAGAGAGCAACCTCTTTGATTGGGATACTTGGGAGAGAGTTAAAAAGTTGATCAGATGGGCCCAGGTAAAAAAAAAAAAATCCTCCCCTCTGGGAGTGCTCCCCACAGTGTCAGCCTTAAAAGGCTGCTTCCCCCATCGCCCTCCGAAATCAAAAGGGGTGGAGGCCCTGGCCCCCCCGCTAAGGCTGCTGACCTGGTCCCTGAGGTGCAACCAAGCCCAAAGCTGGATGCTAGGCCCTCAGGCCATACAGATCCACCGGACCGCCCTGAGCCCCTGTATCCCTCCCTTGATCCTTTTGGGAGCGCCCCTTGGCCCTGCAAGGACCCCATCCAGGCAGACTCTCAGACCAACTCGTTCTGGGCTCCCTCTGTCCCTCCCCCCATATGGGAGGAATGTTTCGACCGGGGAGGGAGCCACCAACCTTTTTCCAGTCAATGTCAACCCTGGGGGCAATTGGCCGCCTCTTGGTATCCTTGGCAGGCTCAGGACCTTAAGGACCTAAAAAAGGCTGTTGCAGAAGATGATCCCAACTCTCCCTGGGTGGAAGCTATTCTGGAGGGGCTGGCCCACGAGGCGTGCATGCGGTGGGACTGGAAAGAATTAGCCAAAGCAGTGCTCCCGGTCCCGTTTTCCTTAAATGGCTGGCCTATTTTAATGAGGAGTGCCGCATTCTTGGAGAAAGCAATCAAAAGACATAGCTCCCCAAACCTATTACTTTTGGCATGCTCTCTGGGACTGCTGATCAGTTCACCACTGGGGCCCAGCAGGCGGCCATTGCTTCTCCCTATCAGGACCAGGTCTTGGCCATAGGTCTAGCTGCCTGGAGAAAGCTAGATGAAGGACCTACCAAATCACCCATATCTGGGATTACTCAAAAGGCCTCGGAGGACCTCCCCTCCTTTATAGATAGAGTTCAGAAGAGCCTGCAGAGAAAGTTCCCTTCAGGGGAGTTGCGCAACCAGTTTGTCCAATCACTGATTTGGGATGGCATGACCACTGATCATAAGATAGCTTGTGCTAGGCTACGAAACCAGGCCATGGACAAATGGATCATAGCTACCCGAGATGTTAGGTCTGGGTCTTGTCAGACGAGGGCAATGGCAGCTGCGCTTCAGGCTAGCACCAGGAGGAGTTTCAAACCCTTATCAATGTCCTACAACAGACCAAAGTGTCTGGTAAGTGGACCTGCTTTGAGTGTGGCAAGGAAGGTCATTTCCGGCAAGAGTGTCCAAACCAGTCCAAGAGATCCCCTGGTCCTTCCGGGGGAGGGGGAGGCCCGTGCACACCCTGCCCTAGATGTAAAAAGAGCTTTCATTGGGCTCGTGATTGCAAATCCAAATTTAACCTTAAGGGTGAGCCTTTAAACTCCCCTTGAGGCCACCCCCAGCCCTGTTAAATAAGGGGGATGAGCCAGTTCAGACTCATTGGACAGTCCCATTGATCCCTGGCTTGTGGCCAAAAATGACCCTAACCATAGGAAACAAGACCTTCAAATTTCTCATCGACACTGAGGCAGACGGCACGGTAATTAGAAAGAAGGAAGTCCCACACTCCTGGCAGTTGGTGCCTGGCCCATCCTTACTGGGTATGGGAGGGCAGTCTACATCATGGGAGACTGCCACTTGGCTACCCTGGGTAGATCCCAAGGGGAGTCATGGAGAGGTGCGCCCTCTTGTGGTCTCTGGCCTAACTGCCAACCTTTTAGGTCAGGACATTCTGGGTGAGGCTGAGGCTTTTATCACTACTGACCATAAGGCCTTCTCTAATGATCTCCTAGACACAGAAGAATATGAACAACAGTTCAGAGAGGGCCAAATAAGCCACCCCAACTATAGGGACGACCCCTACTTCAAGCACCTCAAAGACACTCTCAGGATCACCCCCAATCCTAAGGGGAACTGCTCACCCCTTGGTAATCTAAATTCAGTGGACACCTGGGGACCCCGTATGGATTGAGCAGTGGCCTCTCCCTTCACAAAAGATTCAACATCTTTACCAGCTGGTCAAGCAGCAATTAGATCTGGGGCACGTAAGGCCATCAACAAGCCCCTGGAATTCTCCTGTGTTTATCATTAGAAAGCCAGTGGCTCCTAGAGACTATTACAAGATCTTAGAAAAATTAATGAGAGAATGATGCCTTTAGGGACCCCCCAGAGGGGGCTCCCTTGGATTCTGGCAATCCCCAAGACATACCACTTAACTATTATTGATATTAAGGACTGCTTTTTCTCAATTCCCCTCCACCCTGACGATACAGAAAAATTTGCATTCTCCATACTCTCAACCAATTTTTGTGGGCTGGATTTAAGATTTGAATGGACCGTCCTGCCCCAGGGTATGGCCAATAGTCCCCCCATTTGCCAATATTACCTGGCCCACATTTTTGCCTCACTGATGGGGTGGCTGGATGTTTTATTCTATATTTATATGGATGATATAATTCTGGGAAGCCCCGAGCCCTCCAGTCTCCACGAGCTAACCTCTGACTGTCTCGCTATTCTTCAGGAAAACAACTTTAAGG